ACATTAAAATAGGACTGAAATCCCAGTGATTTTGAGGCTTATGGCAACGTGGTGTACGAGTGCTGTTTTCCCCTCCCACTGAATTGATTGACATGTGTCATGTCTCCATAATAACACGTGTACACAGGTCCAAAACATTTTTTGCAAAGATTTTTATTATCAAAGAGATAATAATTTTGCCTTCAACTGTATTGCACAGCATAAGTGACTCATTAGCCCCTTTCACACATACACACCTTTCCGGAAAATTACCGGCAATTTTCCGGAAAGCTTGTATGTGTGAACAGGCTCTTTTTGAAAATACCGGTAAATTCGTTCTGGCTATTTTCCGGAAAGAGAAGTTGTAACATTACCGGCAATTTGCCGGAATGCTGCGCTGTGTGAACGCAAAAGGAAGATTGCCGGAAAGAGCGTGTGCAGGTCTAGAACATGCTGACGTGAGATGTCTGCTTTAGCCAATCAGAACAGTCAGACGCATTCACGTCCGCACGGTTTGAGAATAAAAGCCTTTGAATATTTTCCCAGACACATTTAGCTGCTAGAAATTAGTCAGATCACGTTTATATGTTCATCTTTATGCCAACTGTGTAAATAATTATCAATAAGATGCTTATGATAAGCCGTTGTTTGTTTACCTTCAAGCTTTGCGTGTGCCCATAAACAGTCTATGAGTGCCAGCACACACACATATCATTTACATCTCGACATGCGAAAATGTTTCTCTATATGTTTTTATCGAAGTTGTTCACAATACTGATCATCCACAGAGTTTGTAATGTAATCAAATTTTTACAAATACAAGCGCAGCCGTTTAGAGGTCATTTCGGGTTAATGATGTCAGAATTACCGGTATTTTAGAATGGATGTGTGAATGCTCTTTTCCGGGAAAATTCCGTAACGTCCTCGCCTGTGTGAACAGCTCTTTTTTGAATTTACCGGTAAAGTCGTTCTGGAAATTTTCCAGATATCGGTATCACTGTGTGAAAGGGGCTAATATCGTCAGTAAAAGTTAGTAAAATATTTTTTAATTGTAATACTATTATCTTATTTATCCACTTGGAGCAGAGATTGCCTGATGTACGATAATTATCATACTTGTATGATAATTTCGACCACGTACGATGTATGTTCATTGTTTGTTTATGTTAGTAAAGGCATTAACTGATGCAACACTGTAAAGTGTGAACGTATTTCACAACATTACCGTATTTTCGAGGCATTTACGATATCCCTGTATTTTCTGTAGACAAGCGCCGCCTACCTCCTGTTCTACCAGCGCCAAGACAAGATCCGACAGCCTAGCGTCCCTCCGCCCGTGCCCTGCTCCACCCAGCCTGAGAACCACATCTCCTCCCAGACCAACGACAGCGCAGACGGAGCTTCGGCCTGCGTCAGCATGGAGACGGACTGATCTCTGCTGCTTTCCAGCCTCACTTCATTCTTTCTAGCTCTTATCACTTCCATCTAATCTCCAGAAACTTGAACATCTGGCTCCCACAGAGGCCACTCTCTCTCTGTCTCTCTCAGGCTGGTGCTCGAGCATCATGGGATTCCTTCATGAAACGGGTTTGGCTGGTTGCGGCGGCGGATCGCACTGATTTATCTGCATCGCTTCAGCGAGGATGAATGGGAATGTGGAGGTTTGCGGTTCGTCATCACCCACGCGTTTATTTTATTTAATTGTTTTTCTAAGCTTGCTGTTTCTGAGCTGGCTGAGCTGCTGTTCACACTGGGGGAGCCGACCAGCGAAGCCGCACGCTGGTTAGCATCACGAATATTAGCAGGAATGGTGTTTCTCATATCAGGGATGTCATGATCAGAAATTGTTCGGATTTCTGAGATCTTGTTGAAGACAAACTAACACAAATAATGGTGGGTGGAGGCTTGAAACATAGAAATCGCTATCTGTCCACTCACTCGTGAGCTATTTATTTTCATAATCAGCAGATGCTAACGATTATAAGTCTCATGAGCGGCTTCTAAAGATCTTCCGATTTTATTTTCATTCATTTCTCGTGATATTTTCTTTGCGTTTGGGAAAACCCCCTCTGTTGCAGGACACAAACAGAGGCCTGTTTTCCTGTGAGAATGACTTCTCTCTTATTTTTATTTGTAAAAAGGCAGGAAAACACATAGTACGTTTTTTTCCCAGACTAATTGCGTGCAATTTATTACGAACTCTCTGGAGCAATGAGAATATTTGAGCAAAGTGCTTTCTGGATAGAGCTCTTTATGTGATTTTTAAGGCACCTCTTTGTACAGTATTTTTGTATTGTAAGAATAAACGATGTCTTTGATCACTTTGGATCAAACGCTGGGAAACTGGGGCAAGCTTTCATTTTATTTTGTTAATAATAGAGTCAATATATATATAATTGTATTACAGCTCTTTTGATATAAATAAACGATGACCAATAAGTCGAGGTTTAGGCTTCCATTTACCTTGTTTTACCTCTGAATGAAAGGATGCGTAGATCCTTTTTCCGGCGATGGGGAAAGTGCATATTCAGCTGTTGACAGTGTTGTGATTTATTTTGTGCGCACTGCATAGAGATCGTACAGAAAATGCTTTTTCAGTTGCACTTCCTGTTAAGTGACTGCTTTATTCAGACGATAATGTAGGCAGTTTATATCTCAGAATGACAGATGTATATCGCTATGTGTGACAGGAGCACTTAAACCTACAGTACAGTGTAATATCTACCGTTATAACACAGAGGAGTCTCTCAAAACCTGTCCAGAAACAAAAGAGGCTTTCGGATGTTTTCGCGGCTTGAGTTAAAATGTATTTTGAAGTAAAACCTTTATATTTATGCCGATTTAACTGTTAAGTTCTTGACAGGATTTGTGAGACTCGAATGAACTGGTGTGAAGTTTCTTGTAGTGGGCATTTTCATTTTAAAATAGTTTTATTTCACAACTACAGTCTTCCATTTTGGGTGGCACGGTGGCTCAGTGGTTAGCACTATCGCCTCACAGCAAGAAGGTCGCTGGTTTGAGTCCGAACTGAGCACGTTGGCATTTCTGTGTGGAGTTTGCATGTTCTCCCAGTGTTCATGTGGGTTTTCTCTGGGTGCTCTGGTTTCCCCCACAGTACAAAGACATGCGGTATAAGTAAATTAAATCAACTAAATTGGCCGTAGTGTATGGGTGTTTCCCAATACTGGGTTGCGGCTAGAAGGGCATCCGCTTCGTAAAACATATGCTGGAATAGTTGGTGGTTCATTTCGCTGTGGCAACCTGTGATGAATTAATGGACTAGCACCCCATTCACATGGGGCTTCAGCGTCAACGCTTGACAGAGGTTGTGTCTGAAGTTGGGGCTGACGTGATCATCATATCAGCGTCAGCCAATAAAATTAGTCGGCAATAGGCCACTGTCTGAGCTGGTGTATTTGCATACAGCGATCTGATTGGCTCACGCTTCCATCGGCACTTGAAAGGTTTAGCAAGTCCTAACTTTCAAGCGGCGCTGGCGGATACACAATGCAGTTCGGCAACGCCTGATATCACCCATTCAAAGTGAATGGGAAGCGTTGAAGCTGATGCCCCGTGTGAATAGGGAGTAAGCCTAAGGAAAATGAGTGAATGAAATTGGTCGTAGTGTATGAGTTTGTGGGTGAATGTGAGTGTATGGGTGTTTCCCAATACTGGGTTGCAGCTATAAAAGCGTCCACTGCATAAAACATATGCTGGAATGGTTGGTGGTTCGTTCCGCTGTGGCGACCCGTGATGAATAAAGAGACTAAGCCGAAGGAAAATTAATAAAATTGACCGAAGTTTATGAGTGTGTGGGTGAATGTGAGAGTGTATGGGTGTTTCCCAATACTGGGTTGTGGCTGAAAAGGTCTCCACTATGTAAAACATATGATGGATCAGTTGGCGGTTCATACCGCTGTGGTGACCCGTGATGAATAAAGGAACTAAAACGAAGGAAAATTAATTAAATTGGTCGTAGTGTATGAGTGTGTGGGTGAATGTGAGTGTATGGGTGTTTCCCAATACTAGGTTGCGGCTATAAGAGCATCCACTGCATAAAACATATGATGGAATAGTTGGTGGTTCATTTCGCTGTGGTGACCCGTGATGAATAAAGGGACTAAGCCGAAGGAAAATGAATGAATGAAATTGGCCATAGTGTGTGGGTGAATGTGAGTGTGTGGGTGTTTCCCAATACTGGGTTGCAGCTAGAAGAGCATCCGCTGCCTTAAACATATGCTGGAATAGTTGGTGGTTCATTCCGCTGTGGCGACCCATGATAAATAAAGGGACTAAGCCGAAGGAAAATTAATGAATGAATGAAATTGGCCATATTGTATGTGTGGGGGTGTTTTCCAGTACTGGGTTGCAGCCAGAAGAGCATCTGCTGCGTAAAACAAATGCTGCAATAGTAGGTGGTTCATTCCAACGTGGCGACCTCTGACAAATAAGGGACTAAGCTGAATGAAAATGAATGAGTCTTCCATTTTGTATGTGGTTTATTATTATTAATGCGATGAGCCTTTTTCACTTTTACGGTTTCATAGTGATCGATCACTTTAGTACTAGCATTGATTACTAAAATATTTTGCTAGTGCTGGAAACCACCATGTTAGAAAATCACATACAGTCTCATTTCTTTTAAAGCAGGTATGAAAATCGGATATTTGTTAGAGCTACTGTCTGCTTATTCCAATGAAATCCATTTGAAAAAAGTCAGCGGTGTATAAATGTTAGAACAGTTCAACTTTTAAAGCTACAAACGTTTTTTTTTTTTTTTTTGCAAGCCCGGTATATCAACCCAGTCACTAAATTTGCTATTTATGCATTGTGGAGGCATTTTCTGTATAGGAATTAAACATTATAAATAAGTCATGAAATAAAAGCTTATTTGAATTTTGAGTACGGAGTGTTTTCTCCACCTCCAGCATGAGAACGTGATCATATCTGTGTGATTCATAAATAGTCCACCGGCTTTATCATTTCCTATCATCTCATTCAAACCGAGACACGAGCACAAATTGATTTCCTCTTCACCTGAGGGTTCAATATAATGTTTATTATATTAATACATCTCTCGAACACAGAGGACGAAATAACATCTGCTCTACAATCAATTTATGTCAGAATATTTCAGTGTTTGAAACAACGGCACGGCAATAAGAAACCTCCATAAAAATCGAGCGCTAAAGAGAAAAACTGCTGTATAGAACTGGTTTAATTAAAGTTGAAATCCTAAACAACTGTTTGGAAGGCACTGAACTCCTAAGACAGTGTTTCTCAACCGTGTTCCTGGAGGACCACCACCTCTGCACATCTCAACCAAACACATCTGATTCAGATCACCAGCTCATTGGCAGAGACTGAAAGACCTGTAATGGGTGTGTCAGATAAAGAAGACCTCCAAAACATGCAGTGCTGGTGGTCCTCCAGGAACATGGTTGAGAAACACTGTCCTAAAACATGTTTCCAATGCATCAGTTCACACATAAATATAATATTAAGGCATAAAACATGAAAACATCTGTATGTTAATACATTTGGCAGTCATTTTCTATCTTCGCTGTGCTTGTATTGAATTTCAATTCTCAGGACATTCGTGTGGGTGTTCAAGGGATTGTACACCCAAAAATGGAAATCCTGTCATCGTAAATTTGGAAACCGGTATCCATTGACTTTAATAGTATTTGATTTATCTATTATGGATGTCAATGGTTACAGGTTTCCTACATTCTTTAAAAAAACAAGGGTTAATGATGACAGAGTTTTCTTTATTTGGGGGTGAACTATCTCTTTAGGACGTTAAAATCACCCTAAACACCGTCAGGATCATTCCAGCATTCGTCAAGTGTCAGCATATGAATCATGTTAAGCAATCGCTGGTTCATATCATATCAGATGTTTGATTTTGACTGTGGTTTTTAGTTAAAGAGTTCTCTGAAGTTCAGATCCTGACACATGAGTTCCTCCTCAACGTTCTCCAGGGCCCATTTATGCTCCACGATCTCCAGGGCTTCCCACTCGCTCTGTTACAACGACAGAAGAAGATCATCGAGAGCAGTGTGAACATCTGGCTAAATATCTGATCCACAGTTGAAATGCAGCAACATGCATGAGGGTGAGTAAATGATCATGTTATTACTCCCTCTTTAAGGTGGTCTGTTATGATTTAGTTTAAAAGTTGCTCCTCTGTTATTAAAATAAATAATCATTTCATCACAGAGACACCGAGCTCATTTCTCTCAGTGTCTGAAAGTGTTGGTTCAAAAATCATTTCTTTTTAATCCCCGCCTTTCAAAGAGCCTGCTCTGCTCCAATTGGTCCGATGTTTTGGCATAGTCTATTGTGATTGGTTTAGTACTTACTGTGCTTCTCCATACAACAAATGTCAGTTAGCATATCTACGTTTTTCCTCTCAAGGATTTCCTAGCACTTTTCACTAAATCAAGTTGTGTGTGAAACAATGTGTGTTTGCTTTTACAGCACAGAAAACAGCACCTTCTTGGTATGTCGACAACACAAACAAAACTCTTCCAGGGGTCCGTTCTTCGTACCTCGCTTAAATGATTTAAGATTGGCAGATCCTGGATCTTTTAACCTTGATAACTGATCTCTGGCTAATTTGGTTCTTCAAACAACTTCGCGAATCAGATTAAAATGTCTGGATGAACTGATCTGAGATCGCTGCGTGTGTTGTGAAGGACAGATCTATCGATCCTCAAAATCATGATCAGCAATGCAACGATTAGCTGACAGCACAGCAGCGTAATGACATCATCTGATTAATATTCAAATGATCCATGTGAACAAAATTACATGAAGTTCATAGTTATCAGTTTGTTAAATATGACACGTGATAACTTTCCACTTTTGTTGTGGGCTGCAGGCTTTACCCTTTCATGTGTCAAGAGTATTTAGCAATTTATTTTGTTTTACAGTTATAGCGGATATTCTTTATTATTGTAGCCATAGTCATATAGTAGACAGTTTATTATTCAAACTTCAAATCAACGTCATATTAACTGTCAAAACATGTTCATGAATGCATAATTATTGCTTTAAAAAGTTGCATATTATACACAAATTGTACTAAAGGGATCTAAAAAGTTCTTATCAAGACATTTTTTCTTTGAACCACCAGGTGGCAGTCTTTGTACTTTTATTTCGGAGTGCAGATTGTAAAAGTTTTATTAATATGAATTTTTTTTCTTGTATATATGAGCAATACCACATAGCGATATTGCTGTATATCAGCACTGGTGGGAGGCGTGCCTTAGCGTCCCGTCAGTGCTGATGTACAGCCATATCACACTGCTAACTAGGGCTGTGCAATTAATCGAAAATCCGATTTTGATTTTGGCTTTTAACGATTATGAAAAACCATTAATCGAGGTAAACTATTATTCCATTACATACCGCCCCCTTTCAGTTGTACACGTGTGAAAACTCTTTGCCTCTGCAAAGCAAAGTTCCACGTGAAAATGACTAAAAGCATGTGCTGTAATGTAGTCTAACTTTCGCAGCACGGGATGCGCATCATTCATATTTTTAAAAGCGCAAAAGAGAACGTGCTGTTGTGTGTGTGTGCGCGCCTTGCTTAGCCTCGTCTAATGCCATCTTAATGTGAGTGCTTTAATGGTCAAATACATGCACATTTGTGTCAGAGCGCGGTGTTTAGTGATTATTCATATTAACCCTTATTTGTGTAATAAACTAACAAGTTGTGAATCAAAAGACACGTGAAAGAGAAACCATATGAGACTCAGAGCCGCACTATTCTTAAAGTGACAGCTTTCCTGCTGCTGCCGACTGTTTTTATTATTAATTCAATAATAAAATAAAAAATACAGTGAAGATGCTTAAAGCACAGTTTAAACATAACAGATTTAATAACTCATTTCTAATAACTGATTTATTTTATCTTTGCTATGATGACAGTACATTATATTTTACAAGATATTTTTCAACTAGTATACTAGTATTCAGCTTAGTGACATTCAAAGGCTTAATTAGGGTAAATAGACAAGTCATTGTTTAACAATAGTTTCTTCTGCAGACAATCAAACATATATATTGCTTAAACGGGCTAATAATATTGAGCTATTAAAATAGGTTTCAAAATATGCAAACCTGCTTTTATTCTAGCTGAAACAAAACAAATAAGCCTTTCTCCAGAAGAAAAAAATATTATAGGAAATACTGTAAAAAAAACCCTCTGTTAAATATCATTTGGGAAATATTTATATATAAAAAATAAATTCACAGGAGGACAAATAATTTTGACTTAAACTGATAATCATTTTGAATAATCACAGATTATTTGAGATTACAATTATGACTAAAATAATCGTGATTATGATTTTTCCCATAATCAAGCAGCCCTACTGCTAACGGTGTGATATTACGTTTATACAACAGTTTGTCGGCACAATCTTGTACATAAAAAAGAAAATCAAACATGAAGAGTCTAAAACCGTTTTGTATTAGGAACTACTTTCTTCTGCCATTTATTCACATCTGCAGCTGATGTCAGAACAGGCGAAACCGGATATTTATACACAGTGCATATCAAACATTAAGCGACCGTTACAATATCACAATAATTAACCTAGAAAAAAAAAAGAGCAATCACTACCAGACTGCTGTTGTGTTTCTGATAAGGAGGGACGAGGCTGAATCCAGCTTCTTATTTGCAGCTTCTTAGTGACTCTATCCGGTCCACCTTAAAAACTGCGACGCCTCCGTTAATTAGCTTCTTATTCGCGCTCAAGAAAACACACTAAGCAAGGGCTTATTATGCGGTCCAGGCTCTTTTAGTTAAATTGTGAATTTTCATTCCAAAATGGCTACCGAGTGACACTAGCGGCAGTGATTCTATGCTCTATGATTATACGCAGCTGATTCAGTCGTTACTTTGTGACATAATAAAACGCACCGCGTTTCTTTTTTCCGTCTTAACAAAAATGGCAGTGAGGTGTGCCTCGCGTATTTTCTAATAGGGTATAAGCAGAAGGAGTTTTAATTGTCAGTAACCCAGTTAAAGCCATTCTGGTAAGCTGTATGTCGTAACATAATCGCCGGGTTTAGGGTCTTTTTTCCTTTAAAAATCTGCGATCTTCACTGCCAGATTGATATAAGATATACAGGATACATACACATTTTTATGACTAAAATTCCATGACTTTTCCATGATTTTTCCAAGACTTAAGTAAGTTTTCATGACCTAATGTTTCATGCAATGTCTACATATGCGTGGTAAAAGCAAAACAATGCATGTTCAAATCAGCATATTGTAAAACACGCAGCAAACTAATTTAAATATAATTTATTTTTATATCTATGTCAAATTGATTTAGATAATGCTTACACCGCACTAATAATGTGAGAGTATGTGATTGGCTAAGGACAGAAAAAAGTAAAGACAACTAACCTATATTCAAGTATACAGAGTATACAAGTATACATTGTTTTCCATTACTTTTCCAAAGCTTTACCAGGCCTGAAAAATGCCATGACAAAATTCTATGACTTTTCCAGGTTTTGCATGACCGTATAAACCCTGGATATAAAGTGTGTCTTAGAAGCACAACATGAAACTCAATTTTTCCTCGCCATGTCTTTAAAATATGATATTTATTTTACTCTAGTATTTTCAATCGAGCTTCTATGCTAACCTGCTCATCCTGACTGGCCCTTGTATGTAAATGTCTTTTCATCTTGTTTTACATTTGAACAACTAAAGGAAGGCCTAAGTCTATTTAACTGATTATAGTTTAATTACATTACAGCATTGATGCTGTAAAAGGAACCGTATAAAATTGAAAAAGAGTCCGGTGAACGGTCAATTTTGAAAAAATTGAACATTCACCGGAAGTTTACCAGTAAGGGGAAAAACACTTGCTGTGCATATACCCCATTCACATTTGGGATTTTTTTCTTTGTTTATGAAATTGAAAAGATTTTATTCACGTTAGAAGGAAAACTAGCTAGTGAGGAGTGTAGGCTCGGATGAGAATTTGCTACAAACCAATGTTGGTTTATGAAGTACATTTTGGTTACAATTTAGTTTAGGTTACAATCCATGGTATTACCAAACCATTAACTAATGCTTCTAGCTTAATAAATAGTTAATAAGGTAGAAGTTGGATTTAGGTTTTGGTTAAGATTTAGGGATGCAGAATAAGATCATACGTTATAACTACTAATGAACAGTTAATATCTAAATAATAGGCAGGTAATAAGCCAGTAGTTACTAGCTTGCGTTGTGACCTAAACTAAAGTGTCACTGAATTTGTATATGATTTCTATTGTGCATTTGAACTACGTGGACTTACTGCACTGAACACAATCTGCAAAGATTCCGGTTTCACAGCCATCCTAAGACTGAGGTTTTAAAATTAAAGCGATCGTGTTTCTACATCGGGGGCTGCTGTTGCATGCTTGGTGTAGCTGATGAAAAAAGTTAACCAACTCAATTACTCCTCCATGAATAAAATCTGATACATACAAACTCCAAAGCATAACTCACTGGTGACGCAAGGTTTAGTACATGCATAAATTCATATTCCTATGTAAAACACACAGAGAGAAATATTTGCACCACACATAAATACAAAAAAAGATATGAACATAAATACTGCTCACCTTAAATGCTTTATTAGGATCAGGGGGCATCGCCATCGCAGCCCCCGTCATCTGATCCTGCATAATTCTGGACTGATCTGCAGCTGAAAATGAACAGGAAGAAGAAAAGCCACCAGGGCTGAAATAACATTTAGGTATTAATTAGGTTTATACAACAGTTCTGTCTAGTTCTCAAATCTGATTGGCTGATAGCTGTGATATATTTAAGTAATATCAGCACCCGTACAGCCACTTTACCCTTTGTGTATTACTCCGCCCACATACAGCCAGCAGACACTACAGATCTAAAGTTTAAAAGATGCTTGCTCAGCTGTTTAACTGTCAGCTTAGGATTTAAATCCAACGCGGAAGAAAGTAGTTCCTCATACAAAAGGGTTTTTAAGACTCTCCATGTTTGATTTTGTTTTTATATACACAATTATGCCGTCAAACTGTTGTATAAACGCAATATCACACTCGTAGCAGTGCGATAGGGCTGTATATCGGCACAAGGCCGCCTCCCACCAGTGCCGATATACAGCCGTATCGCACTGCTACGAGTGTGATATTGCTCATATATCTCTTACGGTATCTTACCTCAAAAAGATGAGGAGTCCCAGTTTACTGTCTGAATGAAATTTAATTTACAAAAGTGATTTTATAGACATAAATTGCATATAAACTGCAAGCGTCTACTTTAATATAGATTTTTATTTTTAAAAAAATATGCCAAAAATATAGTTATTACTTAGTCAGTTAGTTAGTTAGTTAGTTAGTTAGTTAGTTAACTAAAAGGTCATTACTTCTGTAATCTGTCATTCGGTATAGCCCATATTTAAAATATATTAAAGAATAAGTCATGTTTATTCAATAAAACCATGCACATTTTAATGTAAAATTCAATGCTTCTCTTTGACCCATACGATATACACTACCTGACTAGTCTTGTTGCCTATCCAAGTTTTAGAAACAACAAATAATAACTTGACTTCTAGTTAATCATTTGGTATCAGAAGTGGCTTATATGAAAGGCAAGGGCCTCTAGATTACGCTTATTTTACCAGAATAATATAATCATGCCTTGATATTTAATTATTTATTTAGGACAGAAAGGTCTGACTTTGCTTAGACAAAAGTCTTGTCACTTAACAGAAATAATGTACAGTATAGAATATAAAGTCATGCTGCAGTGGAGAAAGAATGAATATTGTGTATGACTTGCATGAGCTTGGAGGACTGCATCCATACATCTCTGCAATGACTCTTTAATAAAGTCATCTGGAATGGCAAAGAAAGCGTTCTTGCAAGACTCCCAGAGTTCATCAAGATTCTTTGGATTCATCTTCAATGCCTCCTCTAACTTACCTCAGACATGCTTAATAATGTTCATGTCAGGTGACTGGGCTGGCCAATCCTGGAGCACCTTGACCTTTTTTGCTTTCAGGAACTTGATGTGGAGGCTGAAGTATGAGGAGCGCTATACTGCTGAAGAATTTGCCTCTTCTGCGGTTTATAATGTAATGTGCAGCACAAATGTCTTGATACCTCAGGCTGTTGGTGTTGCCATCCACTCTGCAGATCTCTCGCATGCCCCCATACTGAATGTAACCCCAAACCATGATTTTTTCCTTCCCCAAACTTGACTGATTTCTGTGAGAATCTTGGGTCTATGTGGGTTCCAGTAGGTCATCTGCAGTATTTGTGATGATTGGGATGCAGCTCAACAGATGATTCATCTGAAAAATCAACCTTCTGCCACTTTTCCAAATGATCAACTAGAAGTCAAGTTATTATTTGGTGCTCTTACTACTGGGATCGACAACAAGACTTTTGTCAGGCAGTGTATAATATAATAAATATAACTAGATTTCATACACAAATTAACTGACCATTGTCTTGTCCAAGGATGAGGGTGTACATGCTTCTGAGCCCGAACACATTAAGAAAATACCATGAAGCTGAACTAACCCTGTAAGAGGAACAGAGTTTATTCTGGGTTTTCAGCATCTGGAAACAAATCAAAAACTTCACATGTCAGTATCGTACCATGAGGCATCCAGAGAGACCAGCTCGATTCCTCTCTGTAGCATGGGCTTAAATCTCAGCGTCAGAGGAAAAGGAACTTTAGCTGCAAGGAAAACCAGTGGGACAACATTAAAGCAACACTGACCTTAAGAGTTCAGTTCAGCTCTTAAATTTGGAATTATTAAAGAGATTAAAAAGTCCTGTAAAAATAAAATAAAGGTCTTTAGATGTTCGTATCGGTATGTTAGATTTAAAGACATCTATGAGCTAGTGTGCTACAAAACTGTGGCAAAATTTAGAACGTATGAACTATCCCTTTAGAGTAAATTGAGTTGAAATATTAATAATTAATACCTATAATAAGTATATTCGACTCGTAAATATGATTTATCTGTTCTCTTTCATGTCAAATACATACAGTTACAACAAAAAAAACATACAAGTTTACATCTTGGCAATGTCTATGAATGTAAACAGCTGAGAAAGAAACGGTGTCTCTGTTAGCCACTTTTTAGCCATAAGCTGTGCTGAACAAACCTAAATGTAATCCCACTATGATCAGCGCCCACCTACTGATGCCTGCCTTTCAGAAAATGAGTTATGAATGTACTGGCCAAGCGTTACATCACCCAATTAAAATTCATCATCCGGCTGCTAAGGTTTAGAATGACACACTTCGTATTTCAGATCCTTACAAATGACTGTTTAAGGAGTTAAAAGGACATTTTACCCAAAACTAAAAAGTCTGTCATCATTAACTCGCCCTTCACTTGCTCAAAACCTATTTGAGTTTCTTTCTTCAGTTCAACACAAAAAAAGATCATTTTTTTTAAAAACTGGTTGCTAGGACCCATTGACGTCCATAGTATTTTGTTTCCTATTGTGGAAGTCAATGGGTGCCAGCAAGCAGCATTCTTCAAAATATCTTCTTTTTTATTCAACAGAAGAAAGAAACTCATAATGAGACAGGGAGAATAAAATGTTGAGGTAATTTTCATCTTTGGGTGAACTGACCCTTTAAAACCACATATACACAGACAATATACACTTACCGGCCACTTTATTAGGTACACCGTACTAGTACTGGATTGGTCCCTATTTTGGCTTCAGAACTGCTTAAATCCTTGGTAGCATAGATTCAACAAGGTATTGGAAATATTCCTTAGAGATTTTGGTCCATATTGACATGATAACATCGCGCAGATGCTGTAGATTTGTCAGCTGCACATCCATAATGTAAATCTCCCGTTCAACCACATCCCAAAGGTGCTCTATTGAATTAAGACCTGGTGACTGTGGAGGCCATTTGAGGACAGTGAACCTATTGTCAAGTTCAAGAAACCAGTCTGAGAGGATTCAAGCTTTATGACATTTTGTGTTATCCTGCTGGAAGTAGCCATCAGAAGATGGGTCCACTCTGGTCATGGTCATGGACATGGTCAGCAACAATACTCGGGTAGGCTGTGGTGTTGACACAATGCTTAATTGGTCCTAATGGGCCCAAAGTGTGCAAAGAAAATATCCCCCACATCAAGGCCGTGTTCTGCAGACCTCAGTTGTAACGAGTGATTATTTGAGTTACTGTTGCCATTCTATCAGCTGGAACCTGTCTGGCCATTTTCATGTGGCATCAACAAGGCATTTGCACCCACAGAACTGCTGCTCACTGGATATTTTCTCTTTTTCAGACTATTCTCTGTAAACCCTAGAGGTGGTTATGAAAATCAGCAGTTTCTGAAATACTCAGACCAGCCCGTTTTTCACCAACAACCACGTTCAAAGTCACTTAAATCCCCTTTCTTCCCCATTCTGATGCTCGGTTTGTACAGCATTAGATCGTCTTGATCATGTCTACATGTCTAAATGCATTGAGTTGCTGCCATGTAATTGGTTGATTATAAATTTGCATCAACAAGCAGTTGGACAAGTGTACCTAATAAAGTGGCCACTGAGTGTATTCCTTTGTTTTTAGCAAATAATAAAAGCTCTTACTTGTGAGGAAACCAGAAAAGGCCCAGTTGATCCATCCTCCAATCAGAATCATGGGCAGCACGTTGGTCAGATTTCCTTTCATCATGTCGGTCAGCATGCTGGGATCTGTGATGGCAGATGTTATGATGGAGCATAGCAGGTTGTATATTTTATTTCATTTAAGGATGTTAAATTGGTGCTTACCTGTCATGGGGTTTTTGGGGGTCACCTTTCTTTTGACCTTCTTGAAGAATCCAGTCTCAGGGTTGTTGAAGTAATGTTTTCTCATGGCAAATGACTGAAAAGGAACAGCGATCAGTGGTTAGTCACACATGAAGTGAATGAATATAGTTTGACAAGATGTGTCATTCATAATATAATACAATAATCAAAACCTGTTTAGGAAGATACTTTCCGTTTTCTCTTAATATGCGACTGCGCAGCAAAACCTGGCTGTAAAGTGAAGTAAGAAAGGATTAATGCTTAAACCTTTCTGATTATAGGATTATATAAATCTACATGTAGTTAAGGTAAAAAATACACTTTTTTTAACTTTAAATATATTAAAATAGCGTTAAAAATATTTTTCAGTAAACATTTCTGGCTAATAACTCATTTTATAAATATTTTTCAAGTAATGAAAGTTCCTATGGCTAAAGAAAAAAAAAAGTCCTGTCAGGCATATTTACACTACCTGACAAGAGTCTTGTCGCCTATCTAAGTTTTAGGAACAACAAATAATAACTTGACTTCTAGTTGATCATTTGGTATAAGAAGTGGCTTATATGAAAGACAAAGGCCTCTAGATTACACTTATTTTACCAGAATAATATAATCATGTCTTGATTTTTAATGATTTAATAAGAACAGTAAGGTCTGACTTTGCTTAGACAAAAGTCTTGTCACTAAACAGAAATCATGTACAGTATAGAATATAAAGTCATGCTGCAGTGGAAAAATAATTAATATTTTGTATGACTCCCATAAGCTTTAAGGACTGCATCCATACATCTCTGCAATGACTTAAAAAACTTATTTTAAAAAAATTCATCTGGATTGGCAAATAAAGTGTTCTTGCAGGACTCCCAGAGTTCATCTTCAATGCCTCCTCCATCTTACCCCTGACATGCTCAATAATGTTAATTTCTGGTGACTGGGTTGTCCAATACTGGAGCACCTTCCAGGGTTCCAAACACTTTTGAAGACATTTTTAGGGGCCACTATACATTAACTTTTAGGCTCTGACAGGGCTACATCCTAAGGATTTTTTTTTAATAGCCCAGTTGGGAAAGATTTTTATTTTTCCAGTCAAACTTTTTTTTATTATTAAATAAATGTAATACAATAATATTTAATGATTAAAGATTTTGATATTTTAGTTACTTTTGAGCAAAATATTTTAAATACTGACAAAAAACAAGCAAGCTCTAGTTGTATACATACACTTTATTTAATTATTTATTTAATTTAATTTAATTAATTAATTAAAGGTTTTAAAAACTATAATAAACTAAATGTATGCACAGCAGTCTGTCCAGGTCAGCTTCCTCATACATGGAGCACTTTTAAACAAATGTTATTTTAAGGAAAATAATTAAACCATTATGGTAAATAGGATTAAAAAGTACATTCTTAAACAAAAAGTTTAAAAAGTTTTATTTATTTTATTGGATGGGTGTTGGCCAGACTGGGTAGCTATACATGAACAAAGGAAAATTAAGACCCGTTTAAAAAAAAACCTACAACACAATATTTCAGTAAATTTAAGACTTTTTAAGGCCTAAAATTTAGTTTTTGAGATTTAAGAGTTTAAGACCCCGCAGATACCCTGACCCTGACCTTCTTTGCTTTCAGGAACTTTGATGTAGAGGCTGAAGTATGAGAAGGAGCGCTATCCTGCTGAAAAATTTGCCCTCTCCTGTGGTTTGTAATGTAATCTGCAGCACAAATGTCTTGATACCTCAGGCTGTTGATGTTGCCATCCACTCTGCAGATCTCTTGCACGCCCCCGAACTGAATCTAACCCCAAAACATGATTTTTTCTTTACCAAACTTGACTGATTTCTGTGAGAATCTTGAGTCCATGCGGGTTCCAATAGGTCTTCTGCAGTACTTGTGATGCAGTTCAACAGATGACTCATCAAAAAAAAAAAATCTACCTTTTGCCACTTTTCCAAATGATCAACTAGTTGTCAAGTTATTATTTGTTGCTCTTACAACTGGGATTGACAACAAGACTTTTGTCGGGCAGTGTAGAACAAGAATCATTTGATGACATTGTACTGAAATATCAGTGCAGCCCCCAAAATTAATTGATTTGTTAATTAGTCAGGTTTTATAAAAATTCTGAACTTAGGATTTCTCATAGTTAATTACACATGTTTATTTATTCATATAAAGGGTACTTGGAATATTTCTACACTACTTACTCAGCAATCAGAACTGATTTTATTTTAATTCTGAACGTAACAGATTGATTGATGTTGTTTCTGAACTCCAGATAGTGATTATTGTTGTTTAATGTATCTGTTTATATCTAAACACCTGTATTTTTGATTCTCACCTGTCAGACACCTGCTGCAGATCCACTTTCTTCTCATTATGGATGAGTTTAGTGATGTAATGCCGCAAAACTCCGACGAAGAATGTGATGAAGACTATGGGCAAAACAACCCAAAGGCGAATACTGGAGTCTAGCAGCAGCTCTGGACCTGCCATTTCTATGCTGACTGAAATCGAACTATAAACACTGACACTTCTAAAGTTTTTTTAAATGAATATTCAATTCTGGAATTAATACTACGATGAAAAGTCAAACGGTGGTGTAACTACATAACTTTTAGACACATTTCTGTATGAACATGCGCCATTTGAGCAGCTGCCGTATGACCTTTGAACTAGTAGCGATTCAAACACGAGTCGTTTTGATGAGTCGGATCTTTGAAATGAATTGTTCGAATCGTCTTACACCGGTTTAGGTGGTTTGTGCACGAAATGAACACTCTGAACCGAGTCTATTTTGTACCGAGTCACTTTAAAACTTGACAGTTTTTATTCGCAGACATAGTAAATACAGATATTTTATGAAATTGGGTATATATAGCTCTAATAAAATCTTTGAAGCAATCAGGTATTTTAATTAACACGTTTTGAATGAGAAAGAATTTGTTGGAAGTTGCGTCAACGCTTTAAATTATATTGTATTTACAAATATATTTGTCTTATTGAGAGAATTGTTCTAATAGGTAAACATTAATTAAATAAAAACGAAACGTAGATGTTCATTATAGGAAAACTATAAAACAAAAGTTTAGCTAACGCCATTTCCGGTTTAGACCGAGGACGTTTCCGCGTATCTTGTAAACAAGTGTGGAGCCACGTGACAGACCGAAGGAAGGTTTAGCTTCATTTAACGTACTCGATACTTCATATATTTGCTACTACAATATATTAATCTGTCATATGTAAGCTTTAATCGCTGCATCAGCCCAGCGACGTGCTGTTAATGTTTGATGCACATTAATATTAGAAACATCGATTGCTATTAAATAAAACTTCGATCTGTTATCATCTCATATCATGACTTCTGGCACATCTGTTATTAATGACAAAGTCTTGCAGTATGAGACATTCATCAGTGAAGTATTAAGACGAGACCTGCAGTAAGTATCATTTAATATGGATATTTTGCACGTACACGAAGCTGCCATGGTATTAACGTTACCATGCTTGTACGTTAATTCCATACAAATACAGCTCTATGCTAATCTATATTGTTTAAGCTAATCTATTATGAAATGCTACTATGTGTTCTGGAAACATTATGTACGCTTGTCCAAAGTACTTGTTTAAATGAGCTGAATCAACACGATTCTTGAGTTTTTTTTAGCACAACTACATTTTTTTATTTCAGTTTACTTAAATTTGTAAAAACAATAAAGTTAACTTGATCGATTTGTGTTGGGACAAGATGAAGGAATTAATAACCCTGTGGAACCCAGTATAAGGAACACTATAGTACTTTATTGTAATTTTAATGGTGTTTTTAAACAATACTATAGTAAAGTGAATTGTACTATACACACACCAGCCACTTTATTAGGTACACCTTTCAAGTCCCGGGTCGAACCCACTTTTGCCATCAAAACTTTCTTAATCCTTCGTGGCATAGATTCAACAAGGTACTGGAAATACTCCTCGGAGATTTTGGTCAATATTGACATGATAGCATCACGCAGTTGCTGCAGATTTATCGGCTGCACATTCATGATGTGAACCACCAGTTCCACCACATCCCAAAGGTGCTCTATTGGATTGATGTCTGGTGACTGTGGAGGCCATTTGAGTACAGTGAACTTATTGTCATGTTCAAGAAACCAGTCTGAGATGATTTGCGCTTTATGACATGGTGCGTCCTGCTGGAAGTAGCCATCAGAAGATGGGTACACTGTGGTCATTAGGGGTTGACAGCAACAATACTCAGGTAGGCTGTGGTGTTAAATAAATTATCCCCCACACCATTACACCATCACCACCAGCCTGAACAGTTGATGCAAGGCAGGATGGATCCATGCTTTCATGTTGTTGATGCCAAATTCTGACCCTACCATCTGAATGTGGCAGCAGAAATCAAGACTCATCAGACCAGACAACGTTTTTCCAATCTTCTATTGTCCAATTTTGGTGAGCCTGTGTGAATTGTAGCCTCAGTTTGCTTTTTTATCTGACAGCAGTGGCACCAAAGAGTGGTCTTTTACTGCTGAAGCCCATCCGCCTCAAGGTTTGATGTGTTGTGCATTCAGAGATGCTCTTCTGCATACCTCGGTTGTGACGAGTGGTTATTTGAGTTACTGTTGCCTTTCTATCAGCTTGAATCAGTCTGGCCATTCTCCTCTGACCTCTGGCATCAACAAAGCATTTGCACCCACAGAACTTTTTTTTCCCTTTGCACTATTCTCTGTAAACCCTAGAGATGGTTGTGCGTGAAAATTCCATTAGATCAGCAGTTTCTGAAATACTCAGACCAGCCCGTCTGACACCAACAACCATGCCACATTCAAAGCCTCTTAAATCACCTTTCTTCTCCATTCTGATGTTCGGTTTGAGCTGCAGCAGATCCTCTTGACCATGTCTGCATGCCTAAATGCATTGAATTGCTGTCATGTGATTGGCTGAAACTTTCGTTAACGAGCAGTTGGACAGGTGTACCTATTAAAGTGGCCGGTGAGTGTATGTATTATATTATTTAGTATATGTAAGTATATAATAAATATTGTGAACTGTTAAACTGTAATGGTGTGCTTCAGTATTTACTATAGTAAACCCTGTAGTTGTAGAAAACCACAGTATTAGTTGTTTGTTTATAATGCTATAGTTGTGTTAATAACTATAAAGTCACCACAAAATATTAATTCAAGTACTATACTATAATATGATTCAAAATACTATAGTATTTACAATAAATACATTAGTATTTTTTCATGTAAGTTCTTTTTGCTCCACCAGGAAAGTGGTGGAGCAAAAGAGATGCTGTGGATGAGAAAATACGGCAATACCTGCAGCTGAAGAACACAATATAATAAAATATAGTTCAAGAACACTATAGTATTTACCATAAATTACTATAGTATTTTTTCATTTGAGTACTCTCTGCTCTGCCAGGAAAGTGCTGGAGCAAAGAGATGCTGTGTATGAGAAAATCGCACAATACCTGCAGCTGAAGAACACAATACAAAGCATTCAGGTATGTGAGATTTGCATATGTATTTGCATATTTTGTGCTTATTCTTATGTCCTGACTTATTTGTTTTCAGATATAGTTTGTGCTGTGTAAAAAATTTTTACATTTACTATTACTGTCCATCTCAGTTGCTCTCATTCTGCCTTGTGCGCTTTTAATATGTGGCTGTGTTTGATTCACCTTCAGGAAAGCGGCAGCAAAGAACTGAAAACCGATGTTGACCTTGGCTGCAATTTCTATGTGCAGGCTCATGTGTAAGTGTTGTTTGCATGACGTCTGTGGTGCTGTGCGTCAGTGGAGATGTTGAACATTTTTTGAAAGGGCAATCTCATTTCTTTTTTTCCAGACCTGATGCATCAAGAATATATGTGGCAGTCGGATATGGATTCTTTGTCGAATTCACGCACGCAGAGGCTTTGAAGTTCATTGAAAAGAAGACAAATCAGCTCACAGAGTAAGAGGATTTTAGTAGTGCTGTCAAACGATCGAGATTATTTGCATCAAAATTAAAAGTTTATATTTGCTAAATAGATTTTTGTGTCTAAATATACGCATGACTATGACTTTAAATTTATTTATTCATTCGTTTTCATTCGACTTAGTCCCTTTATTCATCAGAGGTCGCCACAGTGGAATGAACCGCCAACTTATCCAGCAAATGTTTTAGACAGTGGATACCCTTCCAGCTGCAACCCAGTACTGGGAAACATCCATACACTCTAATTCACACACATACACTACGGCCAATTTAGTGTACTTTGTATATTTATGTAAATGCAAACCATTATCTTGGGTGTGATTTATCATTTGACAGCACTGGTTTTTAGTTATAGTGAAGGCCTGACAAAAGCTGCATTTTTTTATATTTCTGCTCAAAATTAAAAAAAATAATAATAATAATAAATAATTTGCAGATTCATGCAGAATAATTTTGGGAGCATAATAACTAAAAACTGAAAACAAATGATATATATTTTGTAAATTTTATTTAAGGTTTACAATGCAAATTCCATTAGATCCACTTGTTTGGTAAACAAAGCAAGTTTTGCATATATTACATCAACTAAAAGATACAGAAAATATTACTTTGCAAACTTTATTGTACATAAATCATATAAACATTTGCATATTAGTCTATCTAATATATCTAAAATAAATATAAAAGCTGAATAAATGTATATTTACACACATTTACGTAAGTAAATACTTGATGGGCTAAAAATATGTATTAGCTCTAGCCTAGTTATAGTATACACTGTAAAAAACAATTCAGGAAATTTATGGTTAAAAATAACGACAGCTGTGTTTGCCGTTATTTTACTGAAAATAATACAGTACAAACTATAAAATATATTTCATTAATAGTGTTAATACATCATTGTTTTGGATTACTAACAAAGAATGTGATGTGTAGATGTTAGGAATTCAAAATGTAATTAACAGGTGTTAGTAATTCACTGTAAAATAAAAGAACACACTCATACACACACATACACTACAGAGAGTTTAGCTTACCCAATGCACCTCTACCACGTCTTTGGATTTGTACACCCGGAGGAAACCCACGCAAACATGGGGAGAACAAGCAAACTCCACACAGAAACATCAACTGACCCAGCCGGGGCTCAACGGTACACACTGTAAATTAAATAAATCATGTAATCATTTGCGTATCAGTCAAAAAAATTATTTAAATTAATATAAAAACTGAACAAATGTTTATGTATACACATATTTACATAAGTAAATAGACTTAATGATAGTGTACACTGTAAAAACTAAATCATAAAATTCCTGGTTAAAAAACATCAGCTGTGGTTGCCAGTATTTTACAGATAAAAATACGATACAAACCGTAAAATAAATTACACATTTTTATGGTAAACTAGCATATTTCATTAATCATTGTTTTGCCGTACTAACATCTACACATCATATTCTTTATTACACAAAAAACAACCATAAGAATATGAAAATGAGGAAAGGAAAAAGAAAGAACCATAGGAATGTCAATAATAATGCATAAAAACTCAATTGTCAAGCAGGAAATTCTGTGCTAAAAGATTACCGCTAATTACTGTATGTTTTAAGAAAACTTGCAGTTAATCAGGGCGATGCAGTGGCACAGTAGGTAGTGCGGTCGCCTCACAACAAGAAGGTCGCTGGTTCGAGCCTCAGCTGGGTCAGTTGGCGTTTCAGTGTGGAGTTTGCATGTTTTCCCTACATGTGCATGGGTTTCTTCCGGGTGCTCCGGTTTCCCCCACAGTCCAAAGACATGCGGTAGAGTTGAATTAGGCTAAGTTGTCCGTAGTGTATGAGTGTGTATGGATGTTTCCCAGAGATGGGTTGCAGCTGGAAGGGCATCCGCTGCGTAAAACATTTCATGGATAAGTTGGCGGTTCTTTCCACTGTGGTGACCCCAGATTAATAAAGGGACTAAGCTGAAAAGAGAATGAATGAATGAATACTGTCAGCTTATGCATTTTTACCTTTGAAATCAGCCTTTTTTGTGTTACAGTGCAAATATTTACCATTATTTGAATGTTTAGGTATACTGAAGTTCTTACCAAAGATGCAGCAAAGATAAAAGCCAACATTCGCATGGTTCTGGAGGTATACGTGATTATTAATATACATTTTTTTAACTTGCTTTTTACTTTTGCTTTTTTGTTTTTACCATTTATTGTGATTTAGAATGTAATAAAATGTGATAAAACTCTGTTTTCACAGGGGTTGAGGGAATTGCAAGGACTGAAGGATCTTCCAGAGGACAGAAGGAGAGAGGTGTTTTAGTACCATACACCAATCACAGCACAGTGTATTCATCTTTGCACATATGACTGCAATGTTTGTTTCAAACAATGTGAACATTATGGCAATCATGTTCAGAAGAACGTTGCCTTTTAACAGGTTGTACTGTTGTTTCCAGAAATAGCTGCTGAATAAAGTGTAAAATTTTTCAGTTAATATGTGTCAGTGGGATTGTTATTAATGTTTAGATCACTTTTTGTGCTTCTTTTTCCTTCAGCTTAGTCACTTATTTATCAGGGGTCGCCACAGCGGAATGAACTGCCAACTATTATAACGATAGGACTAAGAGTGCTCTAGTTATAATATTCTCCTCAGCTTATATGGCTGAACCAATGTCAAAAACTATAACTAAATTGTATAAATCACTAGGGGGTTCATCTCTACATTAAAGAAAGATGGGAGAAAGAAAGTGGCATTATCATCTCAAATGAGGAGTGGCTGGCTAAATATATGTATGGGCTACTTCCCGTTCTTCGTAATAGAGAGAATTTTTCTGGAGAAACATTGTTTTTTTTATTGGGAACTTATTGTTGGAGGCATTGCGGTTCACAGGACCATTTTCATGTCCTAATGTTAGAAGTTTTTGGAAAGAGATACATAGCATTTTAGAAAGTATATTAAATATTTCAATTGATTTCAGCTTTGAGGTACTTTATTTGGGTATGCTGTCAATGGATTCATTGGAAAGACAAAACAAATATAGGTATAGAGTCAACCTTCAAGTAAAAAAGCTATTACTAGATGCTGGTATGAAGCTAATCCATGTTTTAAAAAATATATTCATTATGGAGAAAATTAGTGCTAAATAAAACTTATATTAATAAAGTCTTACATTATGGTTGTGGGTTCCAAACGAAAACTTAAATCAAAAAGGTACTCCTATATTTTGTAATGATGGTACTTCTTTGGATGATGTTGATACGGAGTGTGACTTGATTTTGAACTTTCCTTTAAAACACAAGGTAATCAAATTGTAAGTATTGTAAGTCAACTTTGGAATTAGTACCTTATATCGGTCTAGGCATTGTTTTTCAGTTAGTGTTCGCAATCGCAAGAAACTTGCTCTTCAACTTATTTTTTCAATCCTTGATTATTGCGATATTGTTTATCAGAGTGCATCGAAATTAGATCTTGCTCGTTTTAATATGTATAATAGACTTTGCAGATTTGTTCTGGGTAGTTCTTTTTACACTCATCATTGTTTAATGTATGATCTGCTGCAGTGGCTATCTTTGCACACAAGCCGACATATCTTCTGGCTTCAATTTATATTTAAATGTATTCATTTTAAGTATCCTCATTATTCACAACAATTTTTAGTTGTTTTATATATATTATATATATATCAGACTTATCTTTTTGTTCCTCGTCGTAAAAAATCTTTTGGTAAAATAGCTTTTATGTTTAAAGGTGCAACAGATTGGAATAATTTACCTGCTACCTTTCAATCCATTACTCATTTAAGGTCTTTAAGCAAACTTTGTTTTCATTTTTTACTTTGCATTGTACTTGTTTTTCTTGAGGATGTTATTATTTATGTGTTGATCTGATTCTCTGATCTGTAAATAGTTTTTGTACTATATACAGTTGAAGTCAGAATTATTCGCCCCCCTTTAAATGTTTTTTTACAGATATATATTTCTTAAATGATGTTTAACAGAGCAAGGAAATTTCTACAATATGTCTGATAATATTTGTTCTTTTGGAGAAAGTCTTTTTTGTTATATTTTGACTAGAATTAAAGCAGTTTTTAATTGTTTAAACACCATTTTAATGACAATATTATTGGCCCCTTTAAGTGAAATATTTTATTATTTATTCTCTTTCTTTTTTTCTGTATATAGTTTTGATATGATGTCTAATAAGGCAAATGGAAATGGTCTGTCGCTATTATGAAGAAACTTGTGTTTCCTCTTTGGTCCCTGATTAGGGAATTTACTAAAACTGTAAAAGTTATACAGTTGAAGCCAGAATTATTAGCCCCCCTGTTTATTTTTCCCCAATTTCTGTTTAACAGAGATAATTTTTCAACACATTTCTAAACATAATAGTTTTAATAACTCATTTCTAATAGCTGATTTATTTTATCTTTGTCATGATGACTATAGATAATATTTTACTAGATCTTTTTCAAGACACTTCTATACAGCTTAAAGTGACATTTAAAGGCTTAACTAGGTTAATTAGGTTAACTCGGCAGGTTAGGTTAATTACGCAAGTTATTTTATATTGATGATTTGTTCTGTAGACAGTCGAAAAAATACAGCTTAAAGGGACTAATAATATTGACCTTAAAATGGCTTTTTTTTAATTTATAACTGCTTTTATTCAAGCCGAAATAAAACAAATAAGACTTTCTCCAGAAGAAAAAATATTATCAGACATACTGTGAAAATTCCCTTGCTCTGTTAAACCTCTTTTGGGAAATATTTAAAAGAGAAAAAAAAAATCAAACGGGGAGTTAATAATTCTGACTTCAACTGTATGTCTACTGATGCTGTGAATGATATCTCTCTGCAATAAAAACTTAAAATAAAAACTAAAATAAAATAAGCTGTAACCCAAAATACTCATGTTTTTCTATTTATTAAATGTATTTTATGAAAAAATAATAAGATCACAAGCTGCATTAATTAACCATTCCGCATAATTAGTTCGATACATGAGTATGCCTTTCGATAAAATACTTTGAAGCAGTGTGTGTGCTGCTCTTCACCATTGCTCCTCTAATAATAAACGAGGTTTAAATGAGTTGATCATTAATTGGTCCTGTGTTTGAGCTGATCTGACTGATGAAGACGCTGGTTAATTTTAAGTTTCCGCAGCATCCGTGTGACGGCTACCCTGTCACACTAGTAACCGTTGCCATAGAAACTGGATGTTGAATTGTGGCAGCACTCTAAGACTCTTGCTTCCTGAAATAGATTCTTTTTCTTTGTACAAAGACTCGCCGCCACATTTGGGCACAATGACACACAATACACTCATTATTATTATGTGACATTTTGGAGATTTTAGGTTCTTAAAATTCAGGACTTACAGGGAACTTGAGTGTACCCGAGATGTTCAATGCGTTAAATTATCTCTGAAGATAATTTAGGCTTCCTGCGTTATTGTATGACATGTGAGGTGTACTTGAGCATGCAGTGTGCTTTACGTGGCTTTTAAATGATGTCAGGTTTTCAGTATCTAAATATAAATGGATATGATTATTCTAGAAGAGAGACAACCCAAACTAAAAACTACAGCGTTAAATAGTTTCCTGTAGAAGAATTTATATTATTTAAATGAATGTTTATTTGTTTTAATTAAATATTTGTTTATTCAGTCATTTTCTTTTGGGTTATTCCCTTTATTCGTCAGGGGTCGCCACAGCGGAATGAACCGCCAACTTATCCAGAATGTGTTTTACACAGTAGATACTGTTCAAGCTGCAACCCAGTACTGGGATACACCCATACACACTCACACTGACACACACAAACATACACTAGATAATTTCATTCAATTCACCTACACTCTAAAAAATAAGTCAAGAGGTTTGTTATTACTAAGTTTAATACATTGTTGTAACATAAAATTTTAAATTGCTGATTAGATTAAAACTTTTAAGTTTCTAGAATAAGTTTAAGTTTTCAACACAGAAAAATAATGATAATTACATCAACTGAAAATGTGACTAAATTAAAGGTAAATATATATGTCAATTTGTTTAAAACAATATTTAACTTGTAGCAATCCAAAGAAATTGGGTTGATAACTCCACATAGGTTGATTTCCACATTAATGGAGTTGTTTTATATGTTTAATTTCACACACTGATGTTTTTTGTTATTTTTGTTATGGGACAGTACATGTTTTTGTTTTGTAAAACAAAGAAAATCTGTGGTTTAATTTATTCTTCTTTTTTTTCGACTTTGTCTCTTTATTAATCTGGGGTCGCCACAGCGGAATGAACCGCCCCTGTGGTTTAAAAAAATAAATAAAAAATACCTGAAAACATAAATGTTGTTGAATTTATTTCTTACATGCAAATAAATGAACAGTAAATTTGAAAGCATTAAAAACTTAAACATTTTCAGCCACTTAATTGATTTGAGTTTCTAAATTGAAAAACTTGCATGTAATTAAGTACATAACACTGGATCTGTTTTAAATTGTAACATTTAAATTCTGATTGAAGAGGAAATGGCATTTCGCTAACATAATAAAGTTTGTTGAACTTCGTTTTGTTAGATGTTGTCGTAACTTGATGCAAACTGTTGCATTCATTTTTTTTTTTTTGTTTGTTTGGCCTCAAGAATATTTTTTAGTGTGTATAGCATTTCTTTGGACTGTGGGAGAAACCGGAGCACCTGGAGGAAACCCACGCCAACACGAGAGAACATGCAAACTCCACACTAGGTATGGGACGATAACCGGTTTCAAGGTTTGCCGCGGTTTGGAAAGATCAAGGTTTTAAAACCAAGTTTTCTGTTATACCGTTCCTAAAGTATATGCAAGAACTTATTTTGGAGCAGTAATCTGTGATGCCGTGAAACCAAGGTTAAATACTGTCAGACTCTTATATTGGCCCATGCCTACTCCACACAGAAATGCCAACTGACCCAGCAGAGAGTCAAACCAGTGACCTTGCTGTGAGATGACAGTGGAGGCAGCCGTAAACCCCCAAGTTCCCTTGACTCCGCCTCTGTCAAATCAGGGCCACTAAGTGAAATACGTAAAAACGTGAAGTGCAAAGGGAAAAAGCATCGCAGACTCACAATTAACTAAAAAGCAAATTAAAATGAGCATTGCAATTGGCTATACAGTATGCACAGCTAGGGTATATTTTTCAGCCAAAGATAAACTTCCGCTGAAAGCTTTATGTGACTATTTTCAATTTCATACGGTTCCTGTTACAGCAGTGATGTAATGTAATTACAATACATTCAGTTAAATAGACTAAAGCAGTGGTTCACAAACCTTTTGCTGTGTTCACGTCTTTCTAATATTTGACACCTGTCAAGCACCCCTTTCTCTGATTAAACTCCACATTTTTAACTGCAATAACTCATTAGACATAGTTCTGGATACACGATTAAAATAAAAATAATAAAATGCGTGTATTTAATGGACAAGCTTTAATGAAGTTGACGGTTTTCACCGCGTCATTAAATACACACAAAAGTTCATCGGGCATGTTTTTCATTGCTAGAGCTTCTTGGTGGATGCTGCAGTGTACCCAGGAAACCAGTGGTGCTACTTTTCGGATGGAAGCTACTGCTCCTTTGTGCCTCCCTTTTTCTTCTTTTGCAGTTCCTCTAATGTTCCTTGAAATAAAACCTTAAAGGCATATCTTGTAAGAGGCTGATGTAGATGTGTAACGGAGGCCAGCTAGTAGGTGCTGTGCAGGTAAACCTCACTCCTCTGAACTCTAAAGGTGCTCTAGCGACAGATGCTAGAGGCCATGGTCTTTAGCCTCCTTGGTAGTGCAACCAACTCACATGCGAAAGGTAGCTGGTTCGATTCCAGCTCGGAGCAGGTTGGGTGGTAAAGGACTGGCGGGAGTTACAGATGGTTTGTCCCTACTGTCACTTGACTTCTTTAAAGTGCCAGTTTTTAACCAGGTGTTCATTTTGTGATTTTTTTTTTTCTCTCTCTTTTTCTTTCTAGTGAAGTGTACCCAAGATAAATGCACAAAAATAATAAAAGATTTTCCGTCATTACAAACGCGCACTCTCGCGCACTCCTGGTGGTCACACTACGCACCCCAGTTTGGGAACCGCTAGACTAAAGCATCTATTTGGTTGTTAAAGCATAAAAAAGATGAAAGATGGTTCAATAGCAACCAGCTAGCACAGAAATTCCATTGAATATACTGGGGTAAAATAAATTTTCAAATTTTAAAGACATGGTGCAGAAAAATCTAATTTAATTCAGGGCTTCTTGTTTGGTCTGATACCCACTTTATGTCGTATCTCAGCCAGGCAGTGAAGATCGCTGTTTTTTTTTTTTAAGGAAATCAGATCCTAAATGACACGATTTTGTATGCGATGACAATTAACCGGAAGCCCTGAAGCTGGTGACTGAAATTAAAAGTCCATATACTCCATTGACTGGATGGGTTTTGTCCATATATATATATACATACACACACACACACACGCACAGTATACGCTTTATAAAAAGGCAGAAGTTAATGTGACTAAACTTTTTCTCTTTTAGGTAAGTTTAGATTATCAAATTAGTTTCTGTTATGCTTAATAGCAGAATAACGAGAGAGAGATTTTTTTGAGAAATTTTTATAATTTTTCTTGAAAGTCAAGTGTTCATACAATACAATTATAATGCCTCTAATAAAGCTCAGATGATGGTTTCAAGGTTTTGGAAGTTTCTGATTGGCTAACTGACAACATTTGAGTTAATTGGAGGCACAACTGTAGAATAGTATTTAAGGAAAAAAAACCACAAACGCGCTGCTTCCTTTTGTGACAACATGGGAAAATCAACAAGCCAGAATCAACAACAAAGCCAGAGTACAATTTGCTAAATTACACTGGTAAAAAGAATAATATTTGGAGACATGTCTTGTGGTCTGATGGAACTAAGATTGAACTGTTTGGCCATAATGACCAGTGTTACATTTGGAGGACAAAGGGAAAAGCTTACAAGCCTAGGAACACCATCCCAACTGTGAAGTATGGGGGCGTCAGCACCATGTTGTAGGGCTGTTTTGTTGCAGGAGGGACTTGTCCACTTCACTGCATAGATGGCATCATGAAGAGAGAACATTATGCAGAAATACTGAAGCAACATCTCAAGACATCAGCCAGGAAATTAAAACTTAGCCACAAATGGGTCTTTCAAATAGACCTTGACCCTAAGCACACTGCCAAATTAGTTAAAATGTGATTTAAGGACAACAGAGTGAATGTTTTGGAGTGGCCATCACAAAGCCCTGAACTCAATCCAATAGAAAATTTGTGGGCAGAGTTGAAAAAGCTTGTGCGACCAAGACAGCCAACAAATCTAACTCAGTTACACCAATTTTGTCAAGAGGAATGGGTCAAAATTCCTTCAAACTATTGTGAGAAGCTTGTGGAAGGATACCCAAAACATTTGACCAAAAGTTTTACATTTTAAAAGCAAAGCTAAAAAAAAATACCAATAAAATGTATGTAAACTTTTGACTGTCTGGAAATTAATAAAAAAAAATTTCAATAAAAAAATTGTCTCATTATTCTGGCATTTAGCAAATGTAAATCATTTAGGTAATCTTAACGGACCTAAAATAGTAAACGTTAAGTATGATTTACCATCATATATATATATATATTATTTTTTTTTTAATGGTTATGTTCCTTTTTTTAGAGTGTATGTAAACTTCTGATTTCAACTGTATATATATAGTTTTTTTAATTGCAAATATTTTTGTTTTTATGCGCTGCTTGGTTTTTATTAGCAGTTCTTTTTTTTGTTTGCAAATTTTATTTTTATTTCTCAAAACTTGCTTTGCATTTCTTTTATTCTGCAGGTATTTGTGGTCCTAGATTGACTCCATAGTGTGTGAAGATTTTCATTCGACCTTGATGCTAGAAAAAATACTGAAATAGTTTTTCCTTTCATTCATTTCGCTCCACAGCAAGCCCGCGTCATGCCTGTTGCAGTGACGTCACGGCCGCACAAGGGACTCAGAGCAGAGCAAAAAGAGAGAGGTGGAAAAAAAGAAACAAGTGTTCGAGGCGTTCGTGGAAACAGGAAGCAAAGAGGGGGGAAAGCCGAGCCGAGCACAGACTGTTGTTGTTGTTATGAAAAAGAAACTTCGGAAGGGAGCGCTCTGGTTCTCACTAGCCCGTTATTTTGCGCTTTTTAACTGTCGGTGCTGTCGGCTGAAGCGCGAGGACTTTCCGTCCGTTGCTTGGACACCGATGAAGGAGGGAAGCTCGCGGACTAACGGCTACCTGATCAGGGGTCTCGGGTTTATTTGCCCTCCCTGACCGTCCACCACACTGGAACTAACCCCTCATTACTGTTGCCGTATTCCTATAAAGGCAGCGCGTCACACTGCACCTTTTAAGCAAAGCCCTGGTGGATTTTACCAGAGTATTTTTACGTTTGAAGAAGTCTTCAGTCCGTCTGACAGGAACGGTGCACGCGCAGCTAACGCGAGCTAGCGACTTAGCTGCTAATGTCAACTAACATGGAGGGAGAGGTGCATGTGTTACATAACAGCCAAACGCAATTAAATCACCGACTTTTGACACCCAACAAGCACAGCGATGGACGTGAATTAATCTCCAAAGAATAAGACAGGCCATAGACCGATTTATTTGGGAGTGATGGAGTCGAATCCGCTGATCAGCGGTAAGTTTTAATGCACTTCGCAGAGGTTGGGAGATGGTGGAGTGATTACAGTCGAGTTTAATAAAGTGCTTGTTTGTCAAATAAAGCAGAATACATTCAACAATAGCTTCGTTTTGTTTACGATTCGTTTGTACGTGAGCTCTAGGGTGCTTAATCCATAGTGTGTTGCAGAACGTTTTGTTCAGTGTGCCTGTTCACAACACAGTGAATGATTTTAACGTTATATACATTTGATTTTGGCCAGGGTGAGTTAACAAAACATGTTGGAAGGCTAATGCACAGATACTGTGTTGGAGCACATGTTTTGCAAAACAAATTTCTATCATTAACCGACTCCACACACTGCTGTTTTTGCGTCAAACACAGCATACCAGTGCTTGGTAGACGTTTTTACCTCCTGGATGTTTCAGTGATGTTCATTCAGCAAAAAGAGCTTGAATGTCATTTTAACACAGCTTTCTATATTTCACTGTTAATTAATATATATATATATATATATATATATATATATATATATATATATATATATATATATATATATATATATATATATATATATATATATATATATATATATATATATATATATATATATATATATATATATATATATAGTACAGTATTTCAAATCTCAGCACTCCCAAACAAGCTAGTTCACAGCGTGAATGGTTTGTTTTTATGTTTGAGAGGTGGATTTTATAAATTAAAAGCTGTTATTATATCGCTGTTTATTTCATATTGTACTATAATTGAGCAACATGTCCTTAATTTCCTCTGTTTACATTAATACAAAACACTCCAGGCTAGGGCTGCACAATATATTGTTTCAGCATTGTTATCACAATGTGATCATTGTGCAATGTTGAGTTTGTATTATAACTTATTATTTGCATGTGTTTTTGAAGCCTGTGATTGTATAAAGATTTTAAAAACATTCAGGCATAAGAAATCGTTCTATTTGTGGCATTAACTATGAATAACTTTATTGAATTATTTTAATTATTCAGTTACTGTACTTGAATACTATTAGACTCCATACACACAGAGTTGAAGTCAGAATCATTAGCCCCCCCTGTTTATTTTTTCCCCCGTTTTCTGTTTAGCAGAGATATTTTTTTAAACACATTTCTAAGCATAATAGTTTTAATAACTCATTTCTAATAATAACTGATTTATTTTATCTTTGCCTTGATGGCAGTAAATAATATTTTACTAGATTTTTTTCAAGACACTTGCTAATATACAGCTTAAAGTAACGTTTAAAAGCTTAACTAGGTTAATTAGGTCTACTAGTCAGGTTAGGGTAATTAGAAATGTCATTGTATAACAATGGATTGTACTGTAGTATATCAGAAAACAAAATATGTTTTTCAGGGAACCAAAAAATGGACTAATAATTTTTTTCTTAAAATGGTATTTAAAAAATTACAAAATGCTTTTATTCTTGCCGAAATAAAAAAACTTAGACTTTTTCTAGAAGAAAAAAATATTATCAGACATTTCCTTGCTCTGTTAAACATCATTTGGGAAATAATGACCGTTTTATTTTACATTTGATTGTTCTATTTCTGTGCTTGAATACTGTTTGACTCCTCAGAAAACGGTTATTTAACTTTTATTTTTGCTGTCATGTTTATATGCTTCTAAATGTATTATATTCATGCAGATGTACTACACAGAACACCTCATCATCCCAGTCAATCTAAATGAATGAAATCTTTCCAAATAGAGCTATTCAAATTATACGCTGAAATTTAATCCGTCACAATATATGTGTATAAATGATCTCAAAATCCACTTTGTGTACATATTTCATTATTATGTGAAAAACAAAACACAAATGTAAATTCAATCATCAGTCAATGTTCAGATTTGTGCAAAATATAAAACAAATAGATTTCCCAATCAACTTGAGAGTTAATATTTTTATGCTATTCACCTTGACTTACAAAAGTGCATTGAACATGATTGTGCAATGCATGTTAACCGCAGTGCTTGCGTAAACAAATCCAGTGTCATCTTGTATTACCAGCAGGCAGCACGTAAACCCAAGGAGACGGGATGGGCACATTGATGAACCTCAAGGAACTGTTGAGAGCCCCATTTAATTCACGAGTAGATCTGTTTATTAGGGATCTGCTTGGCGTTTTAGCACTGGATTAATTCTGCTCACATCACAGTCCTGTCTGGCTCTCCTCCTTTGGGATGGCCATTCATTCATTGACTATAAGTCATCAGGCAGCCTGAGAACTCCAGATAATTGACTATTGAGCATTGAGGTCCCCGAACAGTCTTAAGGCAATAAGGTCTGACGAGGAAAAACAGATCTGTGTTGTTCAGTGCCGGTCTTTGTTTGCTTTTCTCAGATGTACATGCTGATTTATGAGGCATTAGACCAAGGCAAGCTGTGCAGTGTTGGTCCCTTGATTAGTCATGCCGAAGCTCTTCAGCTAGAATGTAACACTGCAAGGAAAATCAGGGAATAAGCAAGAGTGTAGGCTAAATATGATGAATGTGCATCTGATTCATTGGCGTTGGCTTCACTGTGACATTAGTAATATTAAATATGAGTGATCTAAAATGTGCTGATTATTAGTATTATATATATATATATATATATATATATATATATATATATATATATATATATATATATATATATATATATATATATGTAGTGCTGTTGCCTCACAGCATGGTCGCTGGTTCGAGCCTCGGCTCAGTGGGCGTTTCTGTGTGGAGTTTGCATGTTCTCCCTGCGTTCGCGTGGGTTTCCTCCGGGTGCTCCGGTTTCCCCCACAGTCCAAAGACATGCGGTACAGGTGAATTGGATAGGCTAAAATTGTCTGTTGTGTAATGAGTATGTGTATGAATGAGTGTGCGGATGTTTCCCAGAGATGGGTTGCGGCTGGAAGGGCATCCGCTGCGTGAAAACTTGCTGGATGGGTTGGCGGTTCATTCCGCTGTGGCGACCCCGGAATAATAAAGGGACTAAGCCGACAAAAAAAATGAATGAATGAATGAACACACAGATGTATTTCATAAGCAGTGGGTCAAACAGTTCAAAAGATTTCTTTTTCCTTTTGAACCTTTTTATTTTAATTAAAAGTTTGTGATATTTATTATAGTGCTGCATGATACTGAAATGTTTTGTTCTTCTGCGATATGAATACAGTTTCATTAGATGCCTTGAATAACTATTTGTAAAGTTTACATTAATTCAGATTGATTGTAATGGGAGATTGAATCATGCATAACAATATACAATTTAGTGGGCGAGGCAGTGACGCAGTAGGTAGTGCTGTCGCCTCACAGCAAGAAGGTCGCTGGTTCGAACCTCGGCTCAGTTGGCGTTTCTGTGTGGAGTTTGCATGTTCTCCCTGCCTTCGCGTGGGTTTCCTCCGGGTGCTACGGTTTCCCCCACAGTCCAAATGCATGTGGTACAGGTGAATTGGGTAGGCTAAATTACCGTACTGTGTGTGTGGATGTTTCCCAGAGATGGGTTGCGGCTGGAAGGACATCCGCTGCGTAAAAAACTTGCTGGATAAGTTGGCGGTTCATTCCGCTGTGGTGACCCCGGATTAATAAAGGGACTAAGCCGACAAGACAATGAATGAATGAATATACAATTTAGAATTATTGTTGCATTATGGTTTTGTCAAACAGTACTCGGGTACAGACATTGGAAAAACCAAATGTAAAACAAGACTGTATCTTTACATTGTATAAATAATGCAATAAAATGTATCTTTAATAAAAAAAATAAAAAAAAATCGTACAAGTTCTTGTACCTGAATGCTTTAAAGTTTTTTAAAACATATCCTGCGATGTGACTATTGCAGATGCACACATTGCAATATTCATGCTGAAACAATATATTGTGCTGCTGTAATTTAATAGTAAAAAATTTTATTTAAAAAACTGCTTTTTGTTATATTGCTGTGATGCTATAGGTTTCTCATATATTTATTTGTTTATTCATTTTATATTACTGCCTGACAACTTTTTTAACAGTGGTGATTCTGGAAGTATTTTACAAAAATATTTCCAAGAACCATTTTTCTTGCACTTATTAAAAGTTATCTGGAATGATTTTAAGAGTATATGAGCTGAAATCTAAGCAGAGGGGTCACCTTTCTCAGTCCTGGGGGGCAACACACCTGCTTGGATGTTTCAAGTATGCATACTAAGACCTTGATTAGCTGTTTAGGTGTGTTTGATTAGGGTTGGAGCTAAGATCAGCAGGACACCAGCCCTCCAGGAACAAATTTGGTGACCCCTGTCTTAGCACATGAAATAAAAAATAACTTTTAAGGTTTTCAATACTAATCCAATTAGAATCACTTGTTTGGTTTACCAAGCTTCATCAGGTCTCTTATATAATACAGTGACAGAATTACAGAAAATATTACATTACAAATTGTATGAGCATTTACATATTGTTCAATAACATTACTGAAAATTTATATAGACCCTTTTCACATTTCCGGGTTTCTCTACTGTGGAAGGCGTCATGGTTGGGTAAACTTAGAGCGCAGTAAATCGGACATTACAACAAATCATTTTTTGATAATCCTATTTGCTGAAATAATAAAAGAAAAATGCCACGATGGTGCTATCAAGGCTTTCAGAAAAAGGAAAAGAATAGTGAGAGACTGATGACGGCAGCCAGATGAGAGAATAATGCAAATTTACTCTCAGCCCCATAGACGCTGCATTAGAAACACCTTGCATAAGCAGTAATTTGTTTTTTTGTAATTTGAAGCAAAGATGATATAATGCATTCATAAATGCATAGAAATGTTCATACAGTTTTTAAAAAATCTTGGAAGGATTTAAGGTTATGATGACCGTTATAAATAACCTTTTAAAAAGGGTCCATTAAAACTGAATGAATATGTTTTACACACACATTTACATAAGTATCTAAATAGACTTGATGCAGGCACAGATTTGTCTGGCAAAAAAAGCTTTTCAATGCACCTGCACTCTTTTATTAC